TTGTGTGCAGGTGTGTTGATAGCATATGAAGGACTTCCTCTACACCTGGCTCTCTTTCCAAAACTATGGACAGAACTTGCTCAGTCTCCGGTAAAATCTTCTCAGTCTTCTGTCACACAAACGTAGAGGTCATGTCTTACAATGATTTTACCACAGGTTAAGCATGATGAGATGTGGAGTGCCTAAAGCTGTGGCAAAATCATGCATAGCTTTGAAGTAATAAATAAATCAACTCCAAATCAAAACTGTGGTAAAATTGCCGTCATGCCTAGCATTGAATTATAATTTTTTTAAATATAATAATAACATTATTATTATTATTATTATTATCACATAGCTAATCATTAATAATCAATTTAATATCAAAACTGTGGTAAAATTACTATCATGCATGGCTTTGAATTATTCTATTTTAATTATTATTATTATTATTACATTTATTTATTATAATAATAATAATAATAATAAATATTTATTTGTTTTATTTTTTTCAATAAGAAATGTTAGCAACAGTTAAGGGTGCAAAAAGAAAATATGCATTTCTTCATGTTACATATTCCCATAATCACATTTTAAGCTCTTAATTACACAATACAATATGTGTCCCTGGAGCACAAAAGCAGTCTTAAGTCGCTGGGGTATATGTATGGTAATAATAATAATAATAGTAATAGTAGTAATAATAATAATAATTTATATATATTATAATTTATTATAATCTTTCCTCTACTCCTCTAATATTTCCTATCTATTTATAATAAGAAAATATTGTTTTATTTACTTTTAAATATAGTTTTTATTTACAAAAAAATATATTTTTATACATAATAATAATAATAATAATAATAATGTATTTTCAAAGTGCTCAAAGTCACTTTAAATGAGACACACAACAATAATCACACATTAAGCGATTATTTTTAAAACACATTACATTAGTGTAATTTTTAATTACACATTTCTGTATGTCAGTTGGATTCCTTATATGGGCGACACTACAGGTGGCCTTTAAGCAGCAGATATTTCAGAGGCATAATTATGAAAATAAAGCAATTTCATCCAATCAGAAGTGAGAATCTGATGTGTGTGTTTTCTGGTCTCTGTCAGTGTGCGATGGCTCAGTCGTGTGTGAAGCTGTTGTGTGAGGATCCAGCGTTTGGAGAATACATGAAATGCATCCTGATGGACGAGAGAAACTTCCTGAACAACAACATCGCCTACTCCTTCCTCACCTGCTTCTTACATAAAGTAAATACATGCACATCTGCTTCTCACGCAGATTTAATGTAGTCACGGGTTATCTTCACTTAGTTTAATAATGCTATTCTGGAGTTACTGCACAACACTCTTGAATACTTGATTCTGATTGGTCAATTCTGTGGCCAAAAATATAATTGACTGTTGTCCCAGAAACGGTGCTAGTTTTGTGTCTCATGGTGCTAACACGTTATTACAAGTGTGAAACCTTGTTCAATGCAAGTTACCCAAATTTAAGTTTATTTTGAAGTTTCTTCTTTGCTTTCTGACATTGAGCTTCTCCTGCTGCTGTTTAAAACTTGATTTGTGTGTTTAGGTGCAGGTGCAGGTGTTATCAGGCCAAAGCTGCTCGAATCTCGTCAACGTGTTGGTGACCAACCTACTGAACGAGTACCACAGCCTGCAGCCTGAGCTGACCAATCAGAGAGCAGAGTTGAGCAAGACCAGCAGCCTCCTGAATGCAGTCAGTACAGCTCCACCTCACTTCTTACCCAGCGCTCCAGAGCTCTTTATTCATCCCTCTCTCTCTCTCTGTTGAAGGATCTGCGTGCACTGCTGCTGGTGCTGTCAGTTTACGCCCCTCAGCAGCTGGATCCTGCTTTAGGTCCGGCTCTACAGGAGCTGCTGTCCAAATGCAGACTGTGTCTGCAGCACCGCACCACTTTAGAGATAGAGGCCAAGGAACGCAAAGCCAAAGGTGTCAATACACACACAAACACGCTTGTTTCACTGCCATGCAAAAATAAAAATAAATAGTAGTAGTAGTAATAGTATTTTGTTTATTTATTCATTATTTTAAATAATCATTGATTTATAAAAATGGTAGCAACAGCTAGGGGTACAAAAAAGGAGAATGTTTTCTTGTACATCATGGCTTTGAATTATTTTATTAATAATTATAAAGTACATTTTAATATTTTAATACAGAAAATGTTTTTTTTGTAACTAATAACAATAATATTTTTATTTAAAGAGCCCTTTTCAGGGTACTCGAAAACACTAACAAGTTTTATTTAAAAAATAAAATAATAAATATTAAATAAATATCTTAAAGTAAATATTTAAAAATAAATCACATTTGTTGGTGAATATTTATTTATAATAATTGTAGCAACATCTAAGGCTACAAAAAAGGAAATATGCATTTCTTGTACACCACGGCTTTGAATTATTTAAAATATGATATAATATTTATTTATTTAAATAAATATAAAATAGTAGCAACAGCTAGGGGTAAAAAAGAATTTTTTTTACATCTTACAAATGACTAAAAGTAAATTTTAAAGGTCCCATATTGTCAAAACTGAAATTTCCTGGCCTTTTTCATGATAACTGAGGTCTAGGGGCTATTTAACTACCATATAAGTTTCAAAACAGTCAGTCCACAGTAAAATCCACACAACCTGCTTAAAGTAGCTGTGATTTTTCACGAACCGTTTTGACTTCCGTAAAAAGTTGACGTCAGAACTACACAGTCACCGCCTTCAGTCACCATCCCGAGCACCGCCCACCGTCCCACTCTCCTTTTGTCAAACCCCCAGACAACATCGCGTCCATGCCATTGCTGAGCAACAACATCGCCGAAACATGTCGAAAAGGTTAACTTTAACCAGGAAACCAGATCGGCCAATATGGGACCTTTAAACAGTGATTACATATTGTAATTATACATAAATTTAAATATATATCTTACGCATGATAGTACTATTAGTAATAACAGAGCACTTTTCAAGGAACTCAAAATGCTTAAACACTTTAAATGAAACACAACATTAATCACACAAAGCAATCCTAAATGGTATAATTTTTTAATTATAAAAGTAAGCATTTTTAAGTGGGTATTATGCATAATGTGCACTTATTGTTGATGACATCACTGGGTTCATGTTGCTTCATTTTATATCTCTGTCTGTTTCGCAGTGGAAGAGGAAGGTGTCACTCCAGTGAAGCGCCGGCGGGTGAGCAGCAGTGCTGAAGATCGGCCGGCAGACACCGTCTGTCCTCCATCTGCTTCCTCCTCATTGGCTCCCTGCTCGGAGCAGAAGGCGGAGCCAGGGGAGGCGTTAACGCCCACCAGCACTTCGGACACCGAAACCCGAGACTCCTCCCTCATCGACCCGGGAGTGGAAAACGACCCACCCTCTCCTGACAGTGCGTCCCTCGAGGAGAAGAAAATGGATATTTCTTCTTCATCATCATCTTCGTCATCATCCTCCTCCCTTCCTGAAGCGTTTGGCCGAGCGGACGAACCTCCACCGCAGAGAGCTGAAAGAGAGGAGGAGGAAGAGGAAGATGGGCGGAAGGAAGTGCAAGAGCAGGAGGCGGAGCCAGAGCGAGAGGAAATACCCTCCACTTCCTCCTCCTCCTCCTCCTCTGCTGACTCTGTGCTTTTACTCTCCAGCCTGCCGGATGCTGCCGAGGGGCGGAGCTGCTCGCTTCAGGAGGCGGAGTCAGGCGGGTGTGGCCACGCCCCCATGCAGGATGCTCTGGAGATGCTGTCACGCACAGTCGAGGCCACGATTGCTGTGGTTGCCAAACTTTCGAACGGGAAAGGAGGGACACGCCCCTCAGCTTTGTGACGTTACTATCACATCCCTCCTCTTTCGCATTTCACATTTTCATGTTCGCTATGCTGTTCAGTTTTGTCTTTTTAAGAGTAGTTGGACATAGTAATTGAAGTCCAACTTTTTTTTTTTTTTTCCCCCGCTCTTTGGCCTCGCTCTTTATCTGTTTTAGGTTGCAACACAAAAAGTTCAGTTTTCGGGTTCCAGAAAACTGAGCTCTGCATTAATTGTACAGAACGAAAAAAAAACAACCGGAGCGTATTTTTGTCAAATGGCAGTTTTTTCTTTTTTAAACCGTGATTTTGTTGGTTTCTTTGTTTTGAAGTGGTTTGTTTTCAAGGCTGCAGTGAAACGGGGAAAAGGTTTACAACGTTTTAGTCCCATCAGTGCATAATTTAATTAGTTTTTATTCACGTGTATTATTATTATTATGATTGTCTTCTGTGCCAGTTTTGTACTTACAGATGTGAGGCTGAGAAGGCCTTGCTGTGTTTTTTTTTTTTTTCTCTGTGGTGGATATCAAAAACTATGTTTACTTTGTATTCTATTGGATGTCATTCTTGCGTTCTCTGTATTTGATTTCTCTCTGTCTTTTTGATTTATTTTAATATAGGATATAACTTAATAAAATTTTAATATGATTTAATTATGAATCAAGTCCAAAAAGCAGGTTGTGAGGTGATTTTTATTCATTTTTTTCTTTCTGCTGAGTGTAACTAGAGGCTGATGGCTGTGTTTGGAATAGAATACTAGTGTACAGCATACTATAGTGTACACTGCATACTTCCTACCTTTTTTTTTTTTTTTTGCTGTAAATGCAACAATAAAACATTTCAAATGGTAGTATGTTGCATTGTTTACCGGAAGCAAATTAAATGTAATTTTAGTTTTCATTTCAGAAATTATTACTGGTTTTTATATTTTCTTAATGCAATTTTTTGCGTAAATGCCTCAACATTTGGCACTCAGGTTGGATTAATCTAAAAAAAAAAAAGTAGTGTGCTAGTATGCTTTTCTGAGCACAGCCCAAAGCACAAACTGGATGGAAGTGTACTGGATTAAAACTCAAAAGTCTCATTTGTGGATTGACCTGTGATAAATACACACACACACACTTTGGTTAAGAAACATTTTTTAAAAGTTAAATCATTCTAAAAAGGTATTTACATCAAAGATACAAATTAAAAGCGTTTTGATACACAATCATAGCTGGGCCAGTTAAAGTGCAAAAGCCTACTGTTATTTGTGAGCAGGTTTTGGGATGTCCAAGTCCCTTTGTAAAAGACCACCTTGAAAATGAATTATCAAAATGCAAGGCAGTTGAATGTACATATTAAAAACACGGATACAAAGAAGATTTTTGTTCTTTTCCAAAAATGGGTGAGTTTAAGCATCTCAACTGAAATGAAACCTAGAAGTGACTGATAATTGCACACACTACATAGGCAGCAAGCATAAAATGTTGAGTAAAATTGACAATTTTTCATTATTAACTGAAAGAAGTATATTTATAGTCAACATTTCACTCTGTCTTGTCACAATGCATTATGGGATTAGCTTGTATCTTTTGGAATTGCCTTAAAATGCAACTCACTAAGTTTTGGAACAGAGATTTAACAGTGTGTCAGAATTCATGTTAAAACTCATGAAATCTTATAATCCATCAGGATGTTTTCATAGGGCAGAGATGCTGCTTCCAGTTTTCAAATCTGCATCATTTTCGGAATATCTTTCAAACTCGCGTCTGTTACTGAACTCGACCTGAAAAACAAAATTTGTAATATGCATTTGTAAATGCAAGCTTTTCAGTTCCACAGAATACTGGCTGAATTCTAATTCTGAATGGAGTGCTTTACCTCTTTGGCTTCTTTTTTGCTATCAACAGAAGAAACATGTTTAGTCAAACATCTCAGAACAAAATTGATGCACATTTTGTATTTGAGATCAAATTCTTAACATGTGTGAGTGTATCTTGGCATCTGCTCTTTGACAATATAATGATGTTTACCTGGAAAAGTGAAAACTACTGTCAATACTTGATCTGGTCTTGGTTCTGCCAATATTGAAGCTCTCTTTGTCCGAATCCGTGTACTTCATTTTCTTATTCCTGAGGCAGCAAAAATAATGTATTGTATAAATATTTTTACGCTTAAAAAAGTTTCCCCCTTAAAAATTAGTAGTCCTTTTGAAAAACGTTCAAAGTCAACATACAGTTTAATCAGTGTGATGTCTGAATGGCCACCAATAAGTTACCTAACGAGATAGACAGTCGTCAGAGTGATGAGTCCCACAATGCTTATAGCCAGCAGAACACCGAGAGCGATGACTGCTGCTTGACTGGAATCTTCAGAATTGTTTCCAGAACCATCCTCCACTTTGAATTCCAAATCGGAACCAAACACCTTCTCCAGCTCCACTTTTAGAGCGTTGTGATTACTCCGCAGTTTCCTGTGGGAGTCGACACAATTCAGATCCCTCAAACTCGCGTCTAAATTACATAGACTTTTGCTTCAGTGGAAACCAAGTAGGCTTTAAAAGGAGACATGTGAAAAAATGTATGAATATATTGCATTTCTAACTTACTCTTTGACCTCCGTGGCTTCAATGACAGCACCACTGGAGTCCATGGCAATGAAGCTGATGTAAGTCTTGACTGCAGATTCCCGGAGAATGGTGCGCATCTCGATCCCATCCTCAGCTCCCACACTGAGGATTTTCACAGTCAAACCTAAAGCTTTCCTCATGGAACTGAGAAAAAACACCAATAAAAGATTCAGTATGATTTGTGAACTGCAACAAGTATACTGAAAAGAACCAACTCAAAAAGAACGTTTTTTCAAGTATGAGGGGTTCTTGAGGTCAACTCACTGACCCAGTTATAGAGATTATGAGTGAATAATGATGTCAATTTTAGTCTTTTTCTCACTCAAAGTGACTTTGTGATATGCATACGGACTATATTATTGGCGCTTGATCGGCCCATGGTCACTGGGAAAAAAAAAAGCTTTCCTTTTGTCTTACAGTGAAAAGTCTGCAGCATCAGGTTTGGAATAACGTGACGGTGAGTAAATAGTGACAAAATGGGTGAACAATTTGGACGAACATACTTCCCCTTACTCTCGGTCTCAAAACACAAATTACAATGATTAAATTTCCCTTCTGTCCCCATGCAAAGTAGGCTGAGAAATGGCAATTCTCCTACTCTTCAATCTCTGGTATCTTCTTCTCCACTGTGAACACGGGCTGGTTTAGAGAGAGGACCACGACGTTGTCACTTTCACTTTCTTTCACTGTGAACTGTTGGTGGAAAACATGAGAGCTTGTTTTCATCTTTTCAATTTTCACAGTTCTCAGTCACAATGCCTTTGGTAATTTGAAAAAGCCTTCTAATTTTTTTCTCCCTCTCTCTATTTCTTAATACCTCAAGTTTTGTAGTCGTGAACAGTCCATGTTTATCAGTGGCTTTAACGTGTAAAGTGAACAGACCGCCGCCAACACTAGATGCATCCAGCACATAGATCTGACCAGTGTTTGCCTCCACTTCCACCAGAGATGTGGACTCCAGTAGTGAATACTGCAAATCTGAGCTCTCGCCAACATCAGGGTCTGATGCCTGAGGGACACACGACATTTCAACCACTTAGGTAACCCCCCCCCAACCAAAAAAAAAAAAACTTAATTACAATTAACTATTTCTCTAGTCTATGACTTATATACAGTTCTGCGTTTTGTTATGTATTTCCATTTTGCAAGGATCTTTGAGGAGGTTAAGTAGAGCATTAGCCATAAAGTTGCTAAGATGTTCTGGGTGGTTGCTAGGTGTTTGCTTTCTGGCCCGAGTCAAAAGAGCCCACCCCTAAGCCTCTATGATATTCTAGTCTCTAGATATACTTCCAGTGTAAGAAATACTATTTGTAAGCAATAGTAACAGTGATGCTTATCTTGGTAAATGCCACTATATATAAAATAAGTCTGAGTACATCCATTGCATTTACAACTGATGTCTAGGCCCTCTTTTGAAAAGCACCAGCCACATCTGAGATTCACTTACCTGGACCTTCACTATAGGGAATTTGTATGGAGTGATACTGAAAATTTCTGCCTTATATATTTCAGTGTCAAACACAGGAGCTTCATTTACATTCTCAACCTGAACGCTGACCTGAAAATTAAGAGAGAGTAAGTTAAGTGCTACTATATATAATTTGGCTTTAACATGTGTTGGAACATCAAGACTTAGGCCCGAAACACATTCTACGCAAGTATGTGAACACAAACTTTCTAGTTACACAAACTTGTCATTGCATTCTTACATTTGTCAGAAAGCAATTTGTATTGCTACAAAAGTTCTTTGTGCATGCTCAGTGTTGCATCAAGAGGTGCTGTTTCCTTGAGTTGTCTTCTAGGACAACTACTCAACATGCATTTTAGCTATCTACCATTGGTGTTTGCATACTTGTGTAGAGTATGTTTCTGGCCTTAGTTTGTAGTAAGAATAGTACCGCTGTCTCTGCAGTGTTTGGAGGTGTTCTGGAGTCTATGGCCTCTATGGTGAGGATGTACCACTCCTCTTCCTCCTTGTCCAGTGGTCTGAGAGCTTTTATGGTTCCTTCCTCATCCACAGAGAAGACATCCTCGTGTGACTTCATGTTATAGCTGACTGTAACCAGTGGACTCCCTGGTAATGCCTTGACCTTGCCTACTATTGTGGCCTCAGGTTCATTCTCCTTAATTTTGAAGTTGTAGGAGGAGCTCTCAAAAGCCACACTCTCAGTGAGAGAGGAAATTTTGAAGTGGATCAAGACTTCAGCTACAGAGAGAAGAAAGATGTTAGCTTTGACATGTTCATTGGATCACATTTGAATACTGAAGGGGGGGTTTACTAAGAATAAACTCCTCCCAAAGAACTGTTTATTTGCAAACATTATCTGAACTGTTTGAACACAATGTTCACAGGAATAATTCAAAGGAATTATGCAAACCAGACCCAAACCTTCATCAGACTGTGCTGGCGTTCCATGATCTGTCGCTGTAGCAGTAAGGATTAGCAGCATGTCTTCTGTGACCTCGCTAAGGTCAGAGATCAGAGTGATGTCTCCTGTTTCAGCATCCAGTGCAACCATGGAAGACTCTTCAGAGAAACTACAGAAAGACAAAATTCATGCATCTGTCTAAAAAAAAAATGTAATGTAGGTAAGTGTATTTTTATATTATTTATATTGAAGAGTTTAACTTTTCTAAATGGAAGCTTAGTTATAAGTATGAAAGTCTTGAACTTACCTGTATCTAATGATTGCGTTGGATCCGGCATCTTTATCTGTGGCAGAGAGCGTCAGCAGCACCTCTCCAACCTTGGCGTCTTTAACCAGAATGCTTCTGCTGTAGGTGTCAGAGCTGAAGACTGGAGCGTTGTCATTGACGTCTGTGATACTGACTCTCACTGTGGTGATGTTCTGCAAAAAATAAACACAAGCAACCCTTTTCTAGTACAGACCAAAAGCCCATATTTGCAATGTCTATCTAACTTAAGTATTGTAACTAGTATCAGGTATCCAGAGGTTTGAATATTGACACAAAGTTGGATCCACAGTGCAACGTCTTAGTCAGTAGCAGCTTAGACTGGTTGATCATCTGCGCAACATAAAAAAACACTACCTGGAGTTTGCTTTACATGTAATTTAGAGATGGAAAAATCCAAAATATTAAATAAATTTAGAGCAGAAGTAGTCAACCCTTTTCCTGGAGGGCTACCATCCCCCAGAATTTAGCTCCAACCCTAATCAAACACACCTGAACCAGCTAATCAAGGTATTTTAGAATTACTGTAGACGTCCAGTCAAGCGTGTTGGGGACAAGTTGAAGCTAAACTCTGCAGGACAGTGGGCCTCCAGGAGCAGGATTGGAAACCCCTGTTTAAGAGCAACGGTAGGTGACCCTGTTCCTGGATAGCAACCCTTCACAAACTCCGGGTTCCAACCCTGCTCCAACAACACCTACCTGTAATTTTCAGGTAATACTGAATACCTTTGCCTGTTTTAGGATAACTTAAGAAGGGTTGGAGCTCAATGCTATAGTGGAAGTTTACTCTCCATGGGCAGGTTTGGACACTCCTGTTTTGTAAACTCAAATGAACTCAACTCTGGCAAAAGGTAGCTCTCCAGGAGCAGGGCTGGTTACCCCAGCTTTAGAGCGAACTCAAATGTTTTGTCTAGTTCAGGTTCAAGATTTTTTTGTTATATTGGCAGTATGTACCAGTAATCCGTAAACAGACTGTGGGAATGCTGTCTGAGGTTGTGACTAAGAATGTAGAATAACAAAACTGTATTGAAGTTAGATCATGTTAATTCTACAAAGAAAAGGAAGTTACATTTCCCTGTGGGCTCCCATGATCCACAGCAACAATGACCAAATCATACACATCTTGTGTCTCTCGATCCAGCTCCACGATAGCTAGTAGAGTCCCATCCTAAAGGGCAAAAGCAAGGAAATATAAAATAATAATAATAAATAAGAATTGAACAGCTGACAATGCTCTGTCATAGGTTTAGTTCCTCACATCTTTGAAGCTGAAGATATTGCTATAAGAAGAAATAGTCATGGTGACACGTCCATTGTCTCCAATGTCAGAGTCTGTGGCTGAGATTAAGCACACCTCTCCAGGTGATGAGGGAGTGTACACACCTTCCAGAATCTCAATGGGCTCTGGGAGAGGAAGGAATTGTGGGTTGTTGTCGTTGACGTCCAGAACAGTGATCGTGACCTGAGCTGTGGAGCTTAAACCCTCAACAGGCTGGTCTACAGCTATTACCTAAAAAGGACAATGCAAGTATCCCATTTAAAATTCATATTTATCCTGAACATTTTGTGAATAGTTGGTTTCAAGAGATGAATGTGAAAGTTTTGTACCTCAATGTTATATTTGTCTATAGTTTCTCTATCCAAGGTGGCATCACTCCTGAGTGATATTACTCCTTGACTGTTGATAATGAAGGTATCACTGTTCATGATAAACTGACCTTTAGAGAACCCACCCTGATTGAAAAGGAAGCAAGAAAAGGTAAAACAAACTTGGAATATTGGCTTGACAAAGCCTTACCTGGAAATGTACAAGGTGAATTTGAAAGCTTAGGTCTTTTGTAGTTTAAATACTTGAGCAGTTAGAAGAGAGACTGGAATGTTACATGTGCCTTGTATACTTGCATGACTAAGCTGTTCCTAAACTTTTCCGAGTAATTGGTAGGAAATTCTGTCAAATTGTTGTTAGGGTGGCTAAGGTGTTCGGGGCACTGCTATGGTTTCTGGGCCCCCTGAACAGCATATTGACTTGGGCCCCCTCGGTAGAAATTGCATTCCGAGGGGCTTGGGTTGTGTCGGGCCCCCTATCTGATCAGGGCCCTTAGAATCATCCTAACCATCCCCAAGTTACAGCACCCCTGAAGGTGTTACAGAGTTTTAAGTTGATGCTAGAGTGTTTGGGTGGTAGCTGAGTGTTGCTAAGAAGGTGCAAAGATGTTCCGATGTGGTTACCATGCAGCTGCAAGGATGAGTCGGAGCACCTCTGCAACTGCTTAACATGGTGTATATTAGAAGGGTATTGCTATGTGGTTGCTAGTTGATTACTAGAGTGTTGCTAAGGTTTTCTGGGTGGTTGCTAGTGGCATTGGTTAATAGGTTAATAGGAGGTTTCTCGGCAGTTACTAGACTTTAGGGGAGAGGTCTAGCGTCTACTTTTCTTACCTCATCCTCATCTGAAACTTCCAAAGAATCCAGAGCAGTTCCACCTGCAAGGTTTTCATAGACGGACACGTCATACTGGTCCTTACTGAACACAGGAGCTTTATCGTTTACGTCCTCAATCGACACCGTTACAGAAGTACTGCCATTGAGAACGGGGTTTCCTCCATCTCGTCCCTCCACCTCTAGAGTGTACCGCTTAGCTTTGCCATAATCCAGTTTTCCAGCTAGGCTTATGGAACCAGACTCTTCATCGATGGTAAAGACGTATGGTGTTGAAGAAGGCTCCTGCTTGACAATGTGATAAGTCACAATTGCATTTTCACCATCATCTTTGTCTGTCGCCAGGATGTCTATGACATTTGTTCCTACTTCAGCATGCTCAGACACTGTGGTCTCATACTGCTGTTTGGAAAATATGGGAGCATTGTCGTTGATGTCAGTTACGGAGATGTCCAGAGTGGTGGTAGCGGAACGTGACGGCCGACCCTGATCTTGGGCAGTGATCACTAAGCGGTACTCATCTTGGGTCTCCCTGTCAAGTGGAGCTGCTAGAGTTATCACTCCCGTTTCTTGGTCAACACTAAATCTCCCAACACCTCCCAGGATGGTGTATCGCACTTCACCATTAAACCCTAAATCCGCATCTGTGGCTGTTACGGAGGTTACATCATCTCCCACCGTGTAATCCTCTGGTACTGGGACAGTAGCAGGGTGAATTTCAAACTCTGGACTGTTGTCATTGATGTCCAGCACCTCAACCAGGACTGATGCCTCATCCCGGTTAGTTCCATCTGATATCGACACCTGCACAGTGTAGCTGCTCGTCTCCTCAAAGTCTAGTTTGACTTTGGTCGAGAGAACACCTGTGTCCTGGTTTATAGAGAACTTGTCATCATCACTCTCAACCCTTAAGATGACAAGAACCATAGGATCAAGGGACAGGAAGTCAACCTGTAAATGAAAGAGTACACATTGGTCCATGATTAGACCATTTACCAGATTTCCTCTGTCTTTTTTACTCTATGTGAGAACTCAAAATTGATTAACATTTAAAGGAATGCATGCTATTTTCCAAATCTTCTGATTTTCAGTACATTATGATTTTTTCAGTCTGTTCCTCACACAAAGCTGTCGAATAACTTTAGAAGGCTTGGAATATAGTGCATAAGTCATATACTTTGATCCTTTTATGGTGTCCTTTTTGGAGATTGACAGTCACATGGAAAACAAAAAAGCTTGCACACCACTTGTAAATTTCTCCTTTTTGTATTCCACAGAAAAAAATGTTTGAAACAACATGAGGGTGAGTAAATAATGACACGATTTTTCATTTTTTCAAGTTTTTTTGAGATATGCGACTGTCCTCGTAGACCCTGGTTGGAGCTGACACTTGCAAAATGTGCAAAATTTCAAGTAGATTGGACCAATGAATCCAAAGTTACAGCCAAATTCATGTTTTCCTATTATAGCGCCACCAAGTGGCCATGCTCTGCCATTTTTTGCATGTGTCTTCATATTGAGTCCATAAATTAGTGTACCAAGTTTGGTAAATATCTCTCTGTTTTCATTTCTTTAAATAAAGATTTGTTAGTTTAGATGGTTGTAATTCAGCAGACCATATTATTATTATCATCAATGGCTTTTAAATCAGTTACAGGGACAATGCCTCGTGAAAGAAATCTTATAAGGAAACTGTTTGTGCTGCAAGGACCTTCACGATGTCTGCGTCTGCCTGATCCTCCTCTACTTGTCCCTGGTAGGTGTCCCGAAGGAACTGAGGATGAGACTCTCCAGGTGCCTTGACATTCACTATTGCAGAGGTTGATCTGCTTATAGCACCCCCTAATGGTAGGAAAAGAAAGTGCAGTGGTTTTTAAGCCAAAAGGAATGTATCCATAGCCATATATGCCTCCATCAAATTTCTTCCAAAACACCTAGATATAAAAACTTACCATCTTTTGCAGTCACATAGAGTGCAAATTCAATGATTTTATTGTCCAGCAGGCCGATTTCTTTAACTAGTGTAATCTCCCCATCATTCTCATTCATTTCAAAATGACCTTTCTCATTTCCAAACTCAATTGAGTAGCTGATTTCCCCATTTGAACCATCATCCAGGTCTGTTGCTTCAACCTTACATGAAAATTTATATACGTTTAGTTGGTATACAACTTCTTTCCAAGGTTTATGGTATAGTAGTCATGACATTATGGTTCCACAATCTCTGAAAAGTTACTAAAATATTGACTGGACTGGAAAATATTTAAATGACTCAACAAAACAATGATTCATCACCTTGACAACTTGCATTCCAATAGTCTGATTGCTGAAAACTTTGCCCTCATACTTGGAAGTTGTAAACTGTGGACTGTTGTCATTCTCATCCAGGAGGACAATGGTCACTTCTGCTGTTGCTTTGTTGGTGGAAGGAGGGTTTTCTTGTGCTTCAACCTAAAAAAAATGGCATGCTTACAATACAGTGGTGCTTGAAACCAATGTGATCACATTATAATTCTTCGTTGCACAAAAATCATAGTGATATCTAATGATAAAATGAGCCTTATTGTTACTTGAAAACTGAAGCTATCTGTGGTCTCTCTGTCTAGGTCTGCAGAACTTTTCACCAGAATAGTTCCGTCAAGGCTGATGGAAAAAGGGACGGAGTCTGGAATAATCCGCAGTGTTCCCATAAATCCTCCCTAGGGTGAAATTGGTCACTTGGTAAGTTCTTTTCTCAGTTTTTATTTTATTTTTCAATCAGACTGAGCTTTTTTTTTTTTTTTTAAGGAACAGTACCAGGTCTAGGTCAGTGACTCTTGTCTGAAGCACAAACTGGCCCTGTGGTGAATTTTCTGGAATAGATACTGTGTATTGATCCTGGTCAAATTCCGGCGGGTTGTCATTCACATCCTCAATGGTGACGGACACCACAGCATTTGTTGTTTTGCTGGCATCATCCTGCTGCGCTGCCTATTTTGAGAAATAATGATTAGAAAACACGAACGATCAAAATACTAAAATCTCTTCAGATTCATAACATCAGCCTAATCTTTAATAAATGAATATGTTTAGAAATGTCTTATACCTGTATGTAAACCGTTATCTGCTCAAATTCCTCTCTGTCTAGTGCCGTTGTCGCAGAGATGACCCCAGTCCTTTCATCAATATTGAAGAAGCTCTGATATTCATTAGGAAAGACTGGAACAAAAATGTGGATATGTGCTTTGTTATTATCATAAACTTATTTCAGAATATTCAAATATAAGTATATTATTAAGAGTGTAAAGTACTGGTTTTGTCAATTCCAATTGACTATGCTTGACTATTTTTGGTGGCATTTTACATCAGATTTAAAATGAGAATTTCATCTCTAGTTCTCCCACATTTATTGAGAAACTATATTTGGAAACAGGTGGTTGTTTAGATTAGGACGTATGTCATGTAGGTGTGTTGTAAATCTTCTGTTATCAGCACCTGCGGTTATACTGTAAACTATAGGTTCGTTGATGCCCGTGTCGCCATCTTGAGCTTTTATGGCCTCAGGAGTGACGTCTGACAGTTGTCCTACCTGTGCATGGACAGAAAAGACATAAAGGGTTTTATTTGTGTGGTCAGACATGTGTTTTAAGCATTGATCTTGCTCTCTGACGTCATTTACCTGGTTTTCCTCAATGGATGCTTCATAGAGACTGTGATCAAAAGAAGGGTTTAGGCTGTCAAAATCTTCAACCGTTATTGTAACTGTTGCAGTGTCACTGAATCCTCCTGTATCCTGTGAAGAAACATAGTGTTGTGTAACTACTTTAAAATTATAATTCATCCAAAAATTAAAATCTCTTCATTTATTCTTGGTCCCCATCCACTTTCTATGTATGGGGGAAAAAAGCAGCTTGGGCATTCTGCTAAGTGTCTACTTTTGGGTTCCATGAGTAAGTATCTGATGACTTTAAAAGTGAAATATTCCTTTAAAGAATCGACTACTAAAGCTATTAAGTATAGTGATCAAAGTGCTATGGATGCAGGACTGGTAGGATGTCAGAGTTTTTTTCTTTACTCTTGCTTCCACAGTGAAGATGTACTGGTGAACTTTGTTGTAGTTCAGACGTTGTTTCAACCTGATGTTACCATCATTTCTCACTTCAAAGTCATCTGGTACTGGAGGCTGTTAATAGAGGGGAAGTGATGAATTAAAATGAGAATATGGATAAAAACTGAGCCTACATAGCAGTTACATCATTATATCAAATATATGAGAATTATTCACAGCTTACCAGTATAGAATATGTAATTCTGTTGTTTTCTGTAGACACATCTGCATCTTCAGCCCTCACCCGGAGCACATCTGAACCCACAGCCGTCGTCTGGAGCAAAAGACACCGTTTACTAAGAGATGTGAGGTCTCTCAGTGACCAAACACACTACAGCTGTATAAAGACGTGACATTATACACACCTCTGACACTGTGGTGCTGTATGTTTTGTTCTGGAAGATCGGAGGGTTGTCATTGACGTCCTGAACGTCTATTGTTCGGATGTTTTTCAGCTGAAATGAACAATGAAGACTTTATAGTCAAGGTTTATTTGCTGAATCTTTATTTCTATAATGATTTGTCTTATTGAATGATTTTATGAAGTTGTGTAAATAAACATACCCCTGTGTTTGAGCAGGTGACTGAATAATATAATTTCTCTCCATTCTAGAAAAAATAAAACAGACAAAGAGTGAACAAATAAAATGCAGTACAATCATCTATGTGAGAATGGGTAAAAGGCAGTAGAGACTAACTGACACTATACCAGCTCAATGAATCAGTGAGGCTGGAACAAACCTCCTTTAGTTCATCAGCGTCCAGTGTTTTTTTGGTCCGTACTGTAGCAGTTGTGTTTCCATCAGAGTAAATCAGCTCCAGAAATTCCAAAGCAATAGGAAAGCGATATGACTCCAGCACCAGACGATCTTCAAGTCTGATATTAGTGATAATCTCTACATCTCCTGTAGAGAGATGCCAGATCAAATACACATTCAAATACATATTCTGACACGCAATCAAATAATCAATAATCACATAGCAAGCAACAGCATTTAAAATTACCACAGAGGGATGTTATCAAATATCTTTTAAAATAGTTTAATAAAAACATACTACTACTACTAATAATAATAATGCAAAAGTGAAAAGACGCATGTAATATTGTAAACTATTCAGTTAAAGTCATGTTAGCATATCTCACCTTCATATCCCTCCAGAATACTCCCTACTTGGATTTCACTTCCAGCTGCACAGTTTATCTCTGAGGAAGCTTAAACAGCAGCAAGTATTTGGTTTAAAGACCTAATAGACCGCTGAAAGCCTACATTCAGTACTATAAACAGAATCAAATCACACAATATACTGAAAAACTATTTAAACAGGCAGTTTTCAAATTGGCCAACATTTTTATTTTCAGTGTTTTTGCTGAAATGCTGGTGACGTGCTTCAGCTGTCGTTCTAAATCAAATCAACACTCTATCTGGTCGCATAATGAATATTACTTAGTTAAAACTCATGTTATCACTTCGAAATATAACTGTTATACTAATATTAAGTTATATTACTTCCTATTAAGTCCTGACAAGCATTTTACTTCATTAGACAGATATAAATCTGACTTACCAGTTTCACTCCATACACCATGAACATGCAGAAAAACTAAAATAAACAAAGAATATAAAGAAAGTGAAAATAAGGCCATCTTTAATTCACAGTCAGTGCAGCTTGTATTATGAAGCCTAGCAGTGAAGAGAATAACTATTCCTTCTGTAACATCTCTCTCTGAGCTGTTCTTTATTGTATGTCATAAACGGTTATGGCCTCTGCTGTAAACAGGTATCAAAGGTACTTCATAAAGGCCAATAATACAGGATTGACAGTATGTGGGAGGGATTGTGTGGAAATAATATAATGTTACGAGTTTATCTGAGGATATCTACGTTTTTGAACCTTTGAAATCAACATTTACTTGATCTCGTTCTACCATTTCTTCTCATGCAATGGTTTCAATGTCTATTCTTTTTTATTATTATACAGCCCTCTGGAATTCTTCATTCTGATTGGTCAATCGCAACATTCTGATGTCAAATGATCAGTGAACTGTATCAATGGCTGCCTGTTGTCCTGGCAACTGATTTCATATGCTGTGCTTTATGTCTTTCATATCACTGTGTGCTCTCTTTCTTGTCACATAGTGGAATAATTTGAACTCTAATCAATATTTCACTTTCAATTTATTCATGTAGCCTACTGGTATTGGCGGGGTAATAAGAAGAATACTGAACAGTCAACTGCTCATTATAATAAAACAAACCCCTGTAGGATGACACAAGTTCGTGTCTGGGATGTGACCATCCTGTCAGGGTTTATTTTGCAATAATGAACAGTACACTATTCCTTCCTTCCTTATAACAACCACTCATACATTGTCATAAATCTAAAGACCTTTATGCTGGACGTTGGTCTGCAATTGAACAGGCTGTAAAGATACATGACAACAATGAATAATAGATTTTCCAAATCTATCTGCCGTATTCTATGTTGCTATTGCCAACAAAGATTATCTTATCACTGCTTACTAGTTATGATCCTTATTGAGCAGAACCAGTGTTACATATATATATATATATATATATTACATCAACATTTTAGTTACATTACAGAACAAATCAAAGGTCACACAATAAACACTCTACATAAATGCTTGAAAGATTATTATATCTTATGCTAATGATTTGATGTAAATAAGGATTTGAATGTTAAACCTGGTCCAGCCCTGACATCCCTGTTGAAAAAACCAGCATATGCTGGTTAGGTATGTTTTGACGCTGGGATGCTGGTTTATGCTGGTCCTTTGCTGGTTTATGCTGGTCCTTTTGCTGGTTTACGCTGGTCCTTTTGCTGGTTTACGCTGGTCTTTTGCTGGTTTACGCTGGTCCTTTGCTGGTTTATGCTGGTCCTTTGCTGGTTTATGCTGGTCCTTTTGCTGGTTTATGCTGGTCCTT